GTGTGTGTGTGTGTGTGTGTGTGTGTGTGTGTGTGTGTGTGTGTGTGTGTGTGTCCGGTTTTTTTTAGATGACACTTGTGTATTTTGTTTCACCTTTTCACAGAATGTGTACCTGGAAAATATGCAACTTTGTTGCTGAAATAAACCGCTATGTTTTGCGAGGCACTTGAGAAGAGATACACAACTCTTTTGTTTAGAAATGTTATAACAATTTGCGAGCGTCTCGTTTGAAATAGTTTAAAATGTGACCCAAACTATAAACTCTGTATGTTTGGGACGACAGTGGTCCAATGAGCTCTGGCTGTCGAGCATTGTCTCTGGGTAGGCAGGAGTGGATAACTAATGTTTTACCCGAAACATGGGCCCCTTTTTGAGAAGTTTAGAATATTATAGAAGTATTTATCTGACAGAAAAGTGGGAAGACATGGAATAGCATCAAGAGGCTAGCCCAGGATAGAGAAAAGTGGGGGGTGTTTGTCCGTGGCCTATACCCTGGTGCAGGGTGAGAAAGGCAATGATGATGATGATGATTTATCTGAGAAAATGAGGATATGGAAGTATCAAAAGCTAGATACCAATTAGTTAATCTGAAAAAAAAGCCTTGTCGTCAGTATAGTAGAAGACTTAACCCCAGTTTTCGGGACAAGAGAACTATTATCCTCCCAAAGAAGATAATGGCCATGTTACCCGGGAACCGGCTCCATGCAGTGCCAACGCACTCCTTGACAAAACTTGCGTCTTTAGCTCTCTTGCAAACAGCTTTTTAGCCAAGAGAGATTTTTAATTAAAGAAAAAATATCAAAAGAATAGCGTTTTTTCGTGTTTAGAGTAGTATGCTGAGCATTCAAAGTAAACATTCCAGCTCAGGTTCAAAATGAAGGAAACAGGCAACCTAACCTACTATCGAAAAAGTACAACAAAAACGTGCGTAAACGAAATATGTGTTTTTTTTGTTCAAAACGAGTTTAAAGGTCATGATCACCTCGTAAGAATTCATCGACATTCTAGTGATGTATTATTGCTAGAATGATAATAAAGAGTACACAACCTACAGCGGGTCGACGTTCGCTGGATGTAGGTGGGACAATATTTGCCCTTTGCCCCCGAGTCTTCATGTCAACAAGAAAAAGTTATAACGACACACGTCCACGTAGTCTAAGGGTCAACGGTAGCTTTTGTTTTCTCGTCTGTATCTCTCATTGTGGTTATCTCCACCAGACGGTACTCGAGATATGCAAGTGAAAGTTCTGAGCTCGATCGTGGCCAGACAAGGGGGGTCAAGGTATGGTGTCCTGATTTAGCGGATGACGTTATTTAAATTTCACGTCCGTTTTTTCGTGTAAAGAAACTACGGAAAAATGTCAACACTTTAGAAAAATGGAAATAATCCTCTTTAGATTAAGAAACAGATACATCTTTTTTATTCCGTTATTCTTCGTTCCTGCTTATGACGACTGGGATTAATTTTGATACGCAATTTGTTCATTCTAAAACGGTTGTTAGTTGCCGGACATAGTTGTCTAATAGTGCACAATAATTAATATTGTCGATTATCTGATCGTAACCCGTGATCTGCATGGGCGGAGCTTGTGGCAAGCTGTCTAGACGGGATTCCTTTCAAAGATAAACGTATACCTTTCCCTGATTGAGACAGCTTCCAACCGGTCGATATTGACGAGGAGAACTTGTGACTACAAATTGGGCGCTTTCATTTTCAAGAGCCTCCTTTACGAGATCTGATTTAGAAAAAAAAAGTGTTATTGATTAGTTTAATTGCGCTGGTTCTTTGATACCTTTCAAGCATTGTTATAGATTTTAACCTAATTATTAGTGGTGTCAGACAACAACTGGTCATTGTTGATATCAAAATGAATTTAGAAGAAATACCGTTGGTCCGCGATAAAAGGCCGTGCACACTGCAAAGCAATAATAAAGTATAAGGGCAATAGTAGCATTTCAGATATTGTGAACATCCGCAATGGTAAATTGTGAGAAATTTGCCACTCTAATCTTTTCAGACAGATTGTGAAGTGCAAAATGTAAATGCGTGGCGAAAAAATAACTTACGTAGACATACACGCCGAATATAACGAAGTGTTCATAGCCCCTGTCTGTCTGTCTGTCTGTCTGTCTGTCTGTCTGTCTGTCTGTTTGTCTGTCTGTCTGTCTGTCTGTCGCTTCCCTCTCTCTCTCTCTCTTTCTTTCTTTCTCTATGTGTCTCTCTCTATCCCCCTCTCTCTTCTCAGAGGTGATGTGTATGTCATGTAGGTAGCGTGGCTTTGTGTTTGAATATGTCATAGTTTTCTTCCTTCGAGTTTCCCCGTTTATTAAAACGATAGGGTCACGAAGTAATACTGGGTAGATAGAACACGCTTAAAACAGAAGAAAAAAAATAATACCATTGAATATCACACGAAAATAACGAGAAATTACATCTTTATGCCCAACTTTTTCTCAAAATGCAGCGACGTATTTTGCAAGTCCATACTAATGAAGAGAGAAAAGAAAAAGGATAATAACCATTCGAATGCAGATTAAACATTTTCTTATTCACCTCAGCCGAAGAATAATTTTAAAAGGGCACATATAACAGTAACAGGGCAGAAATGGGAGAATCAGCAAAGGGATGAAAACTGAAAAGGAAAAGAGTAAATCATTTTCACGCCAAGATACGAGTGAATGTTAGGACTCTGCAATGAAACACGACTAAAGCACACCCAAAAAGTACGAAAAGAACATGGTCTTATTAAAAGAAAACATTTATAGTGATGCAAACAAACAAGCACAGTCTAGTCACCTCTCCCTCCCTCCTCTCTCTCTCTCTCTCTCTCTCTCTCTCTCTCTCTCTCTCTCTCTCTCTCTCTCTCTCTCTCTCTCTCAATTCCATTCTCTTCCCTTGTCTATCAAAAACTCAAACACACACACACACACACACACACACACACACACACACACACACACACACACACACACACACCACACATACACACGCACACACACACATATATATATTATTTATATATATATACATATATATATATATATATATATATATATATATATATATATATATATATATATATGTATATATATACACATACATATATATTTTGCACCAAGCACTGGCATGTTCTCAACAGATTAATACTTTACAGATATCCATCCTTATACAAGGTGTGATACCAAGAAGTACCTTCATCAACGATGTATGCCCTTCTCACCCCTGAGTTTCAATAATTTCATACCATAATGTCTTTATTCTGAGCAAACCAGCTCTTCATATCTGAATGAATGAATGAATGAATGAATGAATGAATGAATGAATGAATGAATGAATGAATGAATGAATGAATGAATGAACGAACGAATGAATGAATGAATGGATGAATGAATGAATGAATGAACGAGTACATGGGCAAATTGTCAGGCCGCAAAGGATAATGTTTAATGCTTTATTCTAGTGTGAGCAAGTTAGTTTGTTCAAATAAGTCTTTTCATGGCACAATGATATATTCAGATGTGAAAATATTAATAACTATTGTGTTGTCTTATCTGACACATTATTTAGAATAAAGACATACGTATTCTACCTCTTCAAGGGAACAAGATTGCAGCAAATATTTTTATATCCCTGTTTAGGGTGAGTTTTATAGACATATGTATCCACAATTTAGAATCGACTGAATAATAATATGATTATGAATATTTATGTGAATCATCAATAAATAAATAACAGCAGCGCATAAGAAACGAACAAAGAAAAAAATACACTTTGATTGAGCTCAAAAGAATAGGCCCTACGCAGATGATGGAAAAGGGGGTGGGGGTGAATTGGGAGGTAAACGCGAATAGATGAAATAAATAATACATACATAATTATATAATAATTAATAATTCACATGTTTAGCGAAAGAATAGAACAACTGCTCTAAGCTGATTGTAAGCGAGGACAATAAATAGTGTTTGATAGACTGACAAAGACTATTGGATTATCTGGGATGACAGCATTACTACAAGTCAGCAGCTGAACAGGTAACATGAAACAGTAAAGTCTTCACTATTCAAAGGAAAATAAGAAATTGAAATGCCCTGAGAGTTTTAAATGAGAGAAGCCGTTGAATCTCAGGCAAAATTTTTAAAAAAATCTTTACGATATGAAAATATCGGAGAATATTCATACGCATATAGAAGGTGGATTGGATAACAATGCACCGAGCACCACGGATGCAGGGCAGTTTTGTTTTGGTTTTCATGCGAGGAAGGGGGGGGGGGGGAGGGGGGTAAATAGAATAGAACGATAAGAATATGGTATATGGACGGAAGCAGATGAAGAACATGGACGAGGGGACTGTGAATTAAAGTGCAATCTGAAACGTTGAAAATAAGCCAGGCACAGATCAAGAAGTAGACAAATAGAGTTGGATGGATGGATGGATGGATGGATGGATGGATGGATGGATGGATGGATGGATGGATGGATGGATGGATGGATGGATGGATGGATGGATGGATGGATGGATAGATAGATAGATAGATAGATAGATAGATAGATAGATAGATAGATAGATAGATAGATAGATAGATAGAGAATGGGGAGGGGGGATGATAATTAAAAGTGAATGAACTTAAATTATTATCCCGTAAAAATTACTGCTTGATGCAATAGGAAATGTGACAATGGCGGAAACTGAAACACAATAAATATTATTATTATTATGCACGCAGAATGTTCTTCCATGCTAGTTACGTTTCACTATTAATATCGTCTTAGTGGCTAGTTCCACTGGCATGTGGCAAGACATCTTGCACTAGGCCCCCAAATGATATTCATCGTTCTTTGTCTTGCACTGAGGTCCATATGACATTCATTGTTCTGTGGGACTCTCGTATTTGAGGCGGTTTTCCCTGCACTGAGTGAAATCTTAGCAGATTTCGTGAGAAGACAGGATCGCCTGTTATACACGCCACATACAGCCCTGTCGCTATAGTGAAAAGGCATACAGCGAAATCATAGACAAAACAGACTATATTATGTGTCATAATTCAACTGATTGTCAATGAGGTTCTTTGATGGTATCGCAACGTCTTTTGCACTTAGGTGAGAACATCTGGTGGAAAGTGAAGAGCTCTCGTCAAATGTTTCTTGAGTAGCGTGTGGCTAAATGTTTGAGGTGTTCTCTTTGATACCCTGTACAAATCTTGAATATCTAGACTTAGGCATGCTCCGAGAATGTGTTTATCACAAATCTGACATGAGGGTGGGAAATCTGCAGAACCAACAAGGGTCCTATATGGCTGGAAGTCAGAAAACCACACTGAGCAAGACACTGGTGAAAACTGATACGGTAGGAGCAGGTGTGTTAAGTGACATTAGGTAGAAAGCAGCTGAGAATGGGCGGAGGGCAGGCATGGGGCTGAGGCCACGGTGGGAAAAGACTGAGCCTCTGCAGGACTGTGCTGAAGAACACCGTACGGGAACACAGGATGAGTCAGTCTCTTGCTGAGGGAGTCACGTGAGTCGCACTCTGTATGTATTTCTGCTTCCGCTGCGACGTCATCACTTTTACTGTTTGATCGTTTGGGTGGAGAGGAGACGAAATCTACAGGAGCTGAAGTGTGGGAGAAGAGTTGGTGGGGATAGGAAAAGGGTTGAAGATGGGGATAGCTGGTCGGGATTTCTGAGACGCCTCGATCTCGTCTGTCGTCTTCACTGGAAGAACGAGCAGGAGAAGAGGCGAGGGCCGACACGGGCGTGGATGTACGGAGAGGATAGACGTCACTGTCACTTTTCCGGAAAGTCGGTTTGTCACAACGACTATCCGGTCTTTCCCTGGGTTTGTTTGGCGAGAGAACTGGCTCGTCTGCTGCAGTCGGTTCTGGAAAAACCGGATTATTGGGAAGCGGTAACTGGCCTCCCCTTGGACCCGAGTCCTGTCTGACTTCGCTAAAAGCAGAATAATCCTGGCCCCATCCGTCTCTACCCTCGTCTTGACCCCTCGATTTCACGTTTGAGATAGCGACCTCATCATTGTCTTCACGAATTTCATCATCGATTTCAATGTCCTTATCGTACTCAGCACTCGAGTCGCACGAGTCGTTGCTCTTCTCCTCATCCTTGTCGTCAAAGCTCATGTTCATCAGCGTGTTGAAGTCGGCGGCTGGGTTCTGGGGAACGCACGAGCCAGTTTTCCAGTGCGTCTTGAGGCCGCTACGACTGATGTACTTTCTGTTACACTGGGAGCATTCGAATGGGCGTTCGTTAGTGTGGAGCCTTCTGTGCAGTTTCAGGTGAACGAACTGCGTGAATTTGGCATTGCAACATTTACAGTGAAACGGCTTCTCCCCGGAATGTAGCCGCATGTGTGTCTTGAGGTTGCTAGTAGAGCTGAAGCGCTTGTCACACACCTGGCACTTGTGTGGCTTTTCACCCGTGTGCACGAGGTTGTGTTTCTGCAAGTGCGCCAGTTGTGTGAAGCCTTTGCCGCACGTCTGGCACACGAAGGGACGCTCGCCGGTGTGTGTTCGGAGATGAACCTTTAGATTGGATAACTGACCGAATGTCTTGAGACACACGTTGCACTCGTAATGCATCTTCCCATCTTTTTTCTTCAGAGGGTAAGGTAGATTTCGGTAGCCTCGTCCCCCCGAGCCCGGGCTCAGGTGAGACACTGAAGACTTGGGCTTCGTGAGATTTAACCCTTGGTCCTGATTGGGGTGATGCTGATGATGTTGGTGGTTGGCGTTGGCCGGGGGAGGGATGATGTTTAGGCCGGCGGCTGCTGATTGGTCTGCGGAGGAAAATGGCGGGTAGAGCGGCCAACTTGGGAGCGCTGGGTAGTGAGAGATTAGTTGCTGGTACAAGGGGTTGAAGGGGAAAAGGTTGGGGAGGCCGGGGAGGGTGGGGACGGGGACTGAAGGACTGGGGACCATCATTCCAGGGTTGAAGGGCGCAGTGTGTTTCATGGTACCAGGGAAAAATTTGAACATGAGACTCAAGTTGTCCGGTTTGAGAGGGTTGAGAAGCGGGTTGTAGGAAGGAAAGGTCATACCAGGAGAATAAAGACTCCCGTGCTTGAAAAACGACAAGGGAGGAAATGGCATCCCGCCTCTGATCATGGGGTCCATTCTTTTAGGAATCTCCGAGCCGAACGATGATTTGGGGAGCGAACTTACATCTGACTTGATCTCAGAGATAGTTGGTGTGTGGCTGTATCCGTGACTCACGGGAAAAGGAAACATGTCAGGCCCCAGTTCCTGTCCTTGCTCTTGCATCTTTTTCACCAGGAGATTTTCTATCAGCCCTGCATTTCTTTTACTAGAAGAGCTCCCAATGACAGGTTTGAACCCTGACCCTTGATGAGCTGTCGGGGGCTTGTCGTGTTGAGATTGCGGGGTTGGAGGGTGTTGTTGGCGTGCCTGGATAGGAAGAGGTAAGGGATGCGGGGGCTGTGGGGGAGGGGTAGAGGAGACAAATTCCTGCGATGGTGTCTGCTCCTCTGGTGGGGGTGTCCTCTCGGGGGAATGTTTCCGAATGAAGTTCGAATCTTGGTGAGAGAGACGTTTGAAAGGATGAATATGATCATGGTTGTAATGGAGTTTGGGAGATTTCACCTCTCGGGGCGACCAGATCTTTGTCTGCGCGGCACGTTTGTTCCTCACAGGGGAAGGATGTCGTGTTTCTTCTTTAATCTGAGGTGCTTCTTCAGCCTCGTGAGTGTTTTCTTTTCTTTGGATGCTGAAATCTAACACAGGAGAAGCTTCCTCCACCCCAGCCACAGATACGTGGTGTTTCAAATCAGAGGGCGGAGTTTGTGTGGAAATATAAGTAGGTGGAGGGAATGGCATCGGCGATGGGCTGGTTTGCGAAGAAGGTGAATCATTATTGGTGGCCTTGTGTGTGCTGTGTGGTGAGATGACGTCATTGATTAGCCCCGGGGAGACGGAGGGCGGGGACTTTGAGGTGACGTCACGGTGAGAGTCGATCATATAGACTTTTTTGACATCCACCGAAGAGGGTGGGGTCTCTCTTGGCGCAACTGTCATTTGGGGAGGACTTGCGCTCCGTTCAAGAAAAGGATAACCTGTTGATAAAAAGGGAAAACAATGACCATCTTTATTGTTGCTTCTACCAGTTATAAAGCGTGCCGACAAATTGAGTTACTTCTCGGATTTTAGCCCTGTGGGTGTAGATACATCAAATTTATATATTGAATTTGTACAATTTATTAATATGAAATGGCGAAAGACATTGTGCACTTGAAGAAAATGGTGATACTTAAAGTTCTACTAATTTGACAGCTGTGTCGATTTGTTTTGGGACCGATATCTCCATTTGCAGATTGCGAGAAATAACTCTTTTTTTCAGCTAAACTACATAAAATTAAGTAATTCAAACTAATAAGAGCAATGATTATGTGGACACGGCTACTTTTAAGTATTAACTTACTCGTCCATGTATATTGTAAAGTACGTGTCAAACCTTACTCTGACCCAGAACACGTACATACAAGCATATTACAAGAAAACAAAGAACATAATGGCATGGGTATAATGCTTAACACCGATATCACCAGCACCACCTCCTCTTTCAAAATCAGTATATCCATCAAACAACCCCCCCCCCCCCAAAAAAAAAATTATAAAAATTTTTTAAAAAACAACCCCAGAACAAATTAAAAACAACATTTGTAATATGTAGCAAGAGAGCTGACCAAAAGAGCAGCAGCACCAGTAGCATCGACGACGACGACAACAACGACAGCAACAGCAACAACAACAACAACTTTAACAACAACAATAACAACATTAACAAAAACAACGACAACAACGAAATGGCCTCGATAAGAACACATAAAACGCCCCTTGCTAAATGGTAAGAATATTTATGAGGTAAGATGTCCAGATTTAAAGGAAAAAAGTGCCTTTCTCAAGAACACAATGTTGAGCAGAGATGAGTCCCGAGCTTCTGAAAACGCAATCTTACAATTACAAGTCTGGTAGCCAGACCACTAGACTAAAGACGCCCCTCCCCCTTCTCTATAAAAATAGCAGCTTCCAAACGAAAAAAACAACAAAAAAAAACAAGAAAAAACAAAACAAAACAACAACAACCAAAAAAAAAAACAAACAACCAACGACCCCCCCAAAAAACAAAAAAAACAAAAACAAAAACAAAAAAAAACCCCAACAACAAAAACAAAATAAAACAACTAAAAACAAAAACAAAAAAAATAAAAAGGCTTCCCTCACCATCCATTCCTCTCCCAAGAAAAAAAAATGCTTGTCAACTATACTATAACTATAAATACATGTAGTATGGCAAGGTGTGAGTTTGTTCCAGTTTCAGTGCGGAAAGGTTTTCTACCATGTAGCTTCTGGTTTAACTATCATTTTTGACAAATGTTTTGCCGATCATGAGTTTTAATTTCTTTAAAGACCCCGAGCATTCGAGCTAGCGCCGCTGGCATCAAAGTCCGGCATGGTACCAACGCTTCGCCACTGTATCTCTTGAAAATGTAATATATATTTGAGTGTGTGGGTTTTTGTTGTTGTTGTTGTTGTTGTGAGTGTGTGTGTGTGTGTGTGTGTGTGTGTTTGTGTGTGTGTGTCTGTAAGAGAGTGAGAGAGAGAGAGAGAGAGAGAGAGAGAGAGAGAGAGAGAGAGAGAGAGAGAAAGAAAGAGGGAAAGAAAGAGAGAGAGAAAGAGAGAGAAAGAGAGAGAAAGAGAGAGAGAGAGAGAGAGAGAGAGAGCGAGAGAGAGAGACTGTGCTTCTTTGTGTGAGTATGCATAATTATACATGTATGTGTGTACATATATATATATATATATATATATATATATATATATATATATATATATATATATGTGTGTGTGTGTGTGTGTGTGTGTGTGTGTGTGTGTGTGTGTGTGTGTATATAATGCATGTGTGTTTGTGTGTACATGTATATTGTGTATGTGTGCGAGTCTGTATAATACAAAGTTTTGATGCAATTTCTTAATCTATGGCACAGGTAGTCGAAATTCAAATCTTAAATGTTAGAAAAGGGAAGAAAAGATACATAAATTACATATAATTAATTATTTTTTTTAATGAAACGGTTTTTCTTCTTTCTCCTGGAAAAAAAAAATATAGCTTTTGGTCTTATAGCATAAGAACATCCTGCTAACGCACTGTTTTTCGTTCCAATGTCAAAAATGACAAAATACAAGATACTACAAAACAATAAAAGTAGTAACTTATAATAGTGTAAATGGACGAAAACAGGCAGGCTTGGGGAGTGAGAAAAGCGAGAAAAAAATCAAGAAGAATAGAATTCAATGTCAGACCAGATAATGTGAGGATAACAAAAGCATGAAATATATAGAAAGCAAAGTCACTGTATGGCGAAGAAAGTGAAGTTAAGAAAATTTTGAAAACGTTCGTCATTGCCATGTAAATCGTCGGTCAGGTGTTCTGACCGATACGTACTAAGACCAAAATTTAAAATTAAAATTTTTAAATTAATTTTGCTGTTAAAATAACAACAGTTTTATCGGTTGCATATCCCTAAAAATATTTTGTCGAGGGTTAAAATCTAAATGAATTTAAAAAAGACATAATAATATAGGTAGGCCTACAATTATTAAAAAGCAATGAATAGTTTCTTTTTTTATCTTTCTATCTCTATTAAAAATGTTGCTTTTTGGGCTTAGCACATTTGAACAGCATGCCAACGAAATATATATCATAAATTCTACCTTGAATAGTCCACGCAAGAGAAGAAATTGCGACCGTACAGTCTGCCCTCATCTCGCTGCTATACGGTTGATGAGTCTTCTCTACTTCAAGGTACGCACGTCTCAGCAGCTCACGGTGTATCTCTGTCTAACCACATAGGCACAGCTCGCTGGTTTTTGTTTTGCTTTCTGCGTGGGCTAACTACGAGTTACTTCGTGATGAATACTGAGACAGAAAGGTTTTTCTCTTTCTTTTTTTTTCTTTTTTTTTTTAAAGAGCGTTATTGTTAGATTATGAGAAAGAATAAACAAGAAACGAAATTAGTCCAGTTCATTCTCCTCTAAAAATCGCTTTTACCTTTGAATATTTTTCGGCACAATTTTTCTCTCTCTCCATTGTTAACAGTCACAATTTGATTATAAACTTGTATTGTAATTGATTGTTGAGTAAACAATTTCTGCACACAGATTTCTCTAAAACAATCAGCTGTTCCCAAGAAGTCCGGTCTCGACACACGACACTTGAGTTCATGAACTTGAAAAATCTGGCGACACAGCCGCAGTAGCTGTCCCCGACGGACGTGGCCTCCGAGAGTGTGTGAGAGAGAGAGGGGGGAGAGAAGAAATCCGCCCTGTTCTGTGATGAAATACGTGTGTACAATAAATAAAGAACCGCGACACGGCGCTAAGTTCACGGAACGCCGTCACCGGGAGAAGAAGAACCGAGGAGAGATCGTCTGTCCTGACGTGTGTGTGTGTGTGTGTGTGTGTGTGTGCGTGCGTGTGTGTGTGTGTATCGTCTGCTAGCTGCTGCTGCTGCTGCTGTCGCCGTTGTGTACCGTACGGGAATGATTGGTTGGTTGGTTGGTTGGCTGTGTTGGCCGATCGTACGGGTCGGGAAAGACTAGACGACTCATTCATTCGGCGAACCGTCCGTGATTTTTTTCCCATGCGCACCAGGCCTCGCGTACCCTGCTCGACTGTCTGGTCTGACTGGGATCATAATTGCCTGGTGCGGTATGGTTGGGTGAAAGTGAAACAGATTAGAAAAAGGAGGCGCAGCACATACTGCGGTACAAATATTTATTATCAATTAATTGTTATCTGTTCAGGAAATATCCGCTCTTGCTTGTTGTGTACGTTCTCGTAAGAGGACTCGAGTCTAGGGTAATCACGGAGGTTCGAGCAAATCGAAATCGATTTCATAGTCTGTGTTTTGTTTTTGCTGGGTAGATCTAGATCTAGATCTAGTTTTAAAAATTTAAAAATTATTATTATTATTATTATTATTATTATTATTATTATTATTATTATTATTATTATAAAGATAACTACGAAAGACCCATATAGCTCAAAACGTTCGCTGAAGAAAGAAAAGCGCAAAACGAGAAAAGGAAGAACGCGTGAAAAAAAACCACGGTAAAAAGTATTCAATCAAATTATGTTTTTTGTTGTTGTTTCCCTCCACTGGCACTCTTGTCTTCATGACGCCGTCAAGTTTCCCCATACCTCCGATCCATCTCCCCAAACCAAATAATAAACAATTTAAATAATAATTTGAAAAAATACGTAAGATAGACACAGATCATTCCTTATAATAAATCAATTATTTAAAAAATTAAGATTAAATAAGTAACAAGAAAGCTATCCCCTGACTGAAAGTTCTTTTAGTAACTCATGTATGCTCAGACATTATTTTCACCTCCTTCCATGTTCGTCATGTTACCCCCTCTTTTCTTACCACTTGTACCTGTACTCAATCAGAAACCAATAATTATTACACGTCCTTTCTTTCCATTACCAGAGCAGACTGCGCTGACGCAGTCGTGGGGTGAACTTTCTTTTCTTTAAAATCTTGTTTTATTGGCTGGAGGATGACAAACTTAGGTTCTTATTTAGCTCACTCGGTATCTTGCTGGACTACAGGACGGAAATTTCTTGTTCGAATCCCAGACTGAACTAGAAAAAATATTCCACAATTTAGGTCAAAATATAAGTGCCGAAGGTTTGAGGTGTAACAAGAGAGAAACAAACACCAAAAAGAAGGAGGAAAGATAAAGACGATAGATGCTTGACTGGAAAGAAGGAGCAAACTACACCAGAGTACTTTCCAACCACCCGCTTTGCTTACTTCCATGCCTTCTTCGTGTAAAGATATATTGTAAAACTGCCTTTTGAAAAGTTCGTTCCAGCTCTGGGACCATTGTCTGTCTGTCTGTTTCTGTCCTCTCTACCCCTCCCCTTCTCCCCCCCCTCTCTCTCTCTCTCTCTCTCTCTCTCTCTCTCTCTCTCTCTCTCTCTTTCTCATGCAGCACAACCAACGTTCCCAGATATCTCACTCAAATAACCAAACGAACTGTCTTCA